ACCAGCCAAATGTTTTACATTGCCTACTAATAATAAATGAACAATCCTAAGAGTGTATTATATGGTGCTATGTATATTTTAAATTAGCCAGAAATCCATCATCCTTGGTTTCCCCTAGATTTGAATTTTACTTCACAGCTAATCCTTCAGTAGTGTTTTGTGGGTTATATTTATGGGCACAGAGGTGAGAAAGTTATGACAATGGTCATTTTAGAGAAATTGGCATAGTCTTTTGTCCATTATCATTTCCCATTGGAGTTACCATACATTTATCAGATGGTTAATATGCAGAAACCAAAGAAACATAAAAGGCACCTTAGGTTATTGGTCCATCTAACTCAGTGCTGTCTATGCTGGCAGAGGAACCAGGATCTCAAGCAGTATTTCTCAATACGCTGGCAGAGGATCCAGGATATCAAGCAGGATCTCCAGCCAATCCTTCAGTAGTGTTTTGTGGGTTATATTTATGGGCACAGAGGTGAGAAAGTTATGACAATGGTCATTTTAGAGAAATTGGCATAGACTTTCGTCCATTATAATTTTCCATTGGAGTTACCAATACATTTATCAGATGGTTAATATGCAGAAACCAAAGAAACATAAAAGGCACCTTAGGTTATTGGTCCATCTAACTCAGTGCTGTCTATGCTGGCAGAGGAACCAGGATCCCCAGTATTTATCACATGAGGTCCTTTTAGCTGCAGATTCTGGGATATGAAACTATGACCTTCTGGGGCCTGAACATTATTTGTGCAGGGCAGATGCTTTACCAATGAACTATTGAGAAAGGATCATGACTCATTTGCAAAGCAAATGCAGTTTTCACTGGCACAGAGATTACAGCCATCACTTAATTGTGGCAAGTCAAATGACTGTTCAAGGCAAATTTGCAAAGGAAAGTTCAAAGCTTGGCAACCTTGTTTTCTATGGGAATTCTTTGGGGGGTCTTAAAACAGGTTAAAATAAATATATATTTGTATTGTCCTTATAATTAATTAAAAACTAGTTCAGTAATTACTAGCAGCAGATTACATAGGCACATCAATCAGACCTGTGATGATTCTCGGGTGTACGTTAATAGCCGTCACTGAGAAATACCATTTTATGAACCAACAGTGATAACTGCTTTCATAGTAAGTCTATCCTGTTTCCTCTCCTTTAGATTATATGTGTGAAGGAAAGGAACCCAAAATACTAGGCCAAATATTTAGAAAATGGGTGAGGAGGCAGGCTGGAGCTAGTAGTCAGAATGGAAGGCCATCTAATGATCTGTGGCTGGTGGGCTGCTGAGTGAAGCTGTTGCATGGACACTTCCTTGAAGACGTCACCAGAGGGTGTATCATCATCTGCCCCTGCAGAGCTAAGTCCCTTCCTCTGGTTCATGGGGAACCAGCCTAGGATAGCAGCCCTGCCTGTTCTCTGCCCAGAGGGAAGAACAAAACTGTTAAAGCGCACAGGGGAGGCTTTGCTCATTTCCAACCTCCCAGGAAAAAGAGGCAGTTTTTGAAGCCAAGGTGTTGCCAGCTTGCCACCTGCTGCTGACCTAAGGAAGCCCAGCCCTACAGCTGTGCCAACTATCAGCCTTGTCTCTGGAGCCACAGGTAAGCCTCATGTCTCCCTCTTATCCCCACTCATCCTTCGTGGTGGTCATGGGGTTGGTGCTGGAACCCTCAGCAAGCATATAACTAAGACCAAAATTAAAAGGCTAAAGAGGAAAATAAAGGCTGTTCCCTCTGTGGAACTGGAAGACTATGGCAAGGGTGCTTCTGATAGTAAATCTTGTTTCCATAGTAATTGCAGCAATTTAATAATAAATCTAGCTTGGGTAATATGATGCATTGTATGAAATGGGTAGCTGTTTTATGTTCATCATCATACATAGCCTGATCTTCTGTTTGTTGCTAAAAAGGACATCTGCGGCTGCAGTCACGCATACTAAACAATCCACTTTCAATCCACTTTCCAACTGGATTTTGCCAGTTCAACAGTTAAAATCCAGTAGGAAACTGCATTGAAAGTGGATTATTTAGTTTGTGTGACCGCAGCCTGAGTTTGGCTTTATATTTACCCTGATGTAGAAAAAGGCCATTAAAAGTGAAAGTTAAAGAGAACCTGAGTCTGAACCTTAGGAGTACTTTGCAGAAATATGCTAGTGCATCTAGGGTATCATGTGAGCTTCCACCAGGCAATATTTGCATTGTGCTTAACTTCTCAGTAAGGTCCAATTCAGACCGTATGGTTTGGCCATATAAGACGTTGTTCATGTTTCACAGAAATACGGTGGTCGATGCATTTTGTGAAGTCAGAGCCTGGATGTGCATTTTGAATTAAGTCTCACGGAGTGCTGTGGCATTTGCTCCCTAGTTAGTGTGCATAGGACTGATGCCATCGTATATGTATGATTCTAAGGGGTAGTTCACTTAGGCTGTGATCACACACACACGCACACACACACACACACAAAATAATCCACTTTCAATGCACTTTCCAACTGGATCTTGCCAGTTCACACAGTAAAATCCAGGTGGGAAGTGCACTGAAGGTGGATTATTTAGCGTGTGTGTGTGATCGCAGCCCTAATCAGTGGAATGTAGCTGTAGTTGAACATTCTCTCTCAGATTTGTCTCCCTCATAGTTAAAGCTTGAGAACTAGTACATAAGGAAGAAGGGTCTACCCTAATCTTCCCTCTTACCTGCTACGTGAAAGAAGTTTTTCTTCATGGTGGGAAAGATCTGCATGGTGAAGTAACAAAAATTGCTTGCTAGGCAACTTGACTTCCTTCCATGAAGCAACTGTATCCTAAACAATTGCACATTTTGTGAAACCTCCCATGAGCGTGCCCTCCAGTTAGCATGTGAGTACACTGAAAGAATGATGATATTTCAAAATACATAAAGAAGTACCTTTGTCTGGGATCTGGCAATCCATCCATTCAATCTCTTTCCTGTGGCCAGATGATTCTTTAAATAAACATGAGTACAATTTGGCACATATTTTAGCGATATCCACCACAAGAAGTCTGTGCCATCTAACTATCTGGGGAATTTATTAATCCCCAAATATAGGGAAGCTAATTTCTGTCTTTCTGTCTGCATTTTTGGAAGGGAGATATCATGGTATGCCATACAAGGAACATATATGCCCTCATGCAAAACTGTGAACCAACAGATATCATGGTATGCCATACATGGTATGCCCTCATGCAAAACTGTGAACCAACAGATCCAAAGCCAGGACTACCAGCCTCAAAAGGACTATTCTAATTCTACTGGCTAAAAAGGACAAAAAAAATCTGAAAGGAACCACAGCACAACTAGGCTTCAGTGTCTCTGTGTCCATAGCTAGATTTGAGTCTAGTAGCACCTTAAAGACCAAGATTTCCAGGGGATAAGCTTTCCAGTGTCGAAGCTCCCTTCATCAGTGCCGATAGGTTACAATGGCTTCTAATGGTAATGTTGGCATCTTAACTTCTTGTTCTTGCTGCTTGCTGTACCTTTTCTTTTTTTAAAAAATCCTACCTGTTTGTTCTGTTTATGAAAAAGGGGTGGTTCTGTTTTAGGGCATTAATGCTAACATCATAATAAATGTAAAATAAAAAGGAGAAAGATTCGTGTGGAAGCTCTACTGGAATCCCATTCCTAAGCAAACTCTCTGCTTCGTACTTGCATCAGGCTCTTCTACTGAGGCTGTACTGCAGAACCAATGCAGACCATATCATAAAGCAACAGTGACTGTGATAATTGCCAAGGGCAGGGACTCTTTGATTTGTGTTTCCTTGCCTTTTTGCATGCAAATGGTTCAAACTGTGTGCCTTACCTCTGCCCTGGCAGAGCATTTCTGCAGAACTGCCTTGGTTATAAAACAGAATTATTTGGCAAAGAGTGGGTGAATGAGGAGGCGAGGGCTGTGTAGGAGAATGAAGAGCTGCAGAAAGTGACAGTGTCAAAGGAATCTCACATTCATTGTTTTTTAAAAAACTTACTGTACTCCCATTTCCTTCTCTTTAGTATGTTAAAAAACAACATCTTCAGGAAAGAGGTATTTAGCTGCTGCTGTGTGTGTGTGTTATTTTTTTATCCTGAAGCACGAAATACACTAAACACTCCAACAATTAATTTAAATAGGGACGATAGTAGCTATAACAGTGAAGGAGTTAAATATTTTCTGTACACACACTCAAAGGGATGCTTGAAATTCCCATGAAATGTAAATGACCATTCCCCATATGGCTAGATATTTATCCCAAATACCTGGTGTTCACAAAATGGCATTAAATTAAGGAGGTGGGGAAGTGTCACAAATCACAAAACGTGCCCATACGTTGCTGCTTTTGCAAATAACTATGGAACAGTTTGTACAATAAAACAATTTAACACTGCCCTCCCCAGGAAAATATAATATTTCAGAATAATTACAGATGCTATACTCTCTAGCTTTTAATTTTTCTCCAATTTTATCATTTGATACACCATATGAAGAAGATAAAATAAGTATGTACCTTCATCAGGAACCAAGGTGTTTGGATTCTGTTTGCACAGAGAATTCTTATTATTAATATACACAGACCGTTTCTCTAGAAATAAACAGGCTCTTTAATGGATGAGAACTCTGAAACGAATGTCTCTATCTTTTTTTTAATGCCCAGCAACACTGGGTTTTTTGTGTGTGATTCAAGCTCAAAATTGTGATAAACAACAATCTAAGGAGTCACCCGTTGCTATGCTTAGTCTCCAAAGGGCCCCCTTGAATGTTTCACTCTTTGGAACTGAGGCGACTAGAGAAGCATTTATCCAGTACACACTCATTCTCCAGCATGGAAGGGCTTTGGGTAATTGTTGTTTGTCATTTAGTTTTATGCCTGGTACTAATTATCAGTTTGTCATCCTTGACTCACAGGGGCTCTTTGCTCTCTGAAAAGGATATATCTCCCAGCTGACCATGGAAAAAATGTAACATGAAATTCATTCCTTTCCTGATAGCACCAAAGATGAGAAGCCAGCAAGTTGGAACAACTTGCCGAGGAAGTCCTGTCATTTCCAAAAGGAAGTGTGATTCACTCTGCAGGAAATTTTTCGGAGCCTGAATCAGAGCTGTCGAGGAAGTGAGTTCTTGGATAGCTTAGCCTGAAATATCACATGACTTGGGGTTAACTGTGACTTCTCCAGTGAGTTCTTGCTGTGACTTTGTGCAGAACAGTTAAGTGGTAGAAGCTCAGTTTACAAGCAGCAGCAGCAAAGAAAGAGACAGGCAATGCAGCTGCAGAGCAAGTAGAAACGCAGCACCAAACACGAATCCTTGAAAAACAATATTACTTAATTGTTGTAGTGCCAAACAGATTTAAGAGAATACATCTCCAAATATTGTTAGGAGGTGCACATGAGAGACTATTGCTTCCCACTGATGAGAAGCAGAAGTGTTAAATAAACAAAGGCTCTAGATTATAGAACTTAAAATTCAAAACACCACACTACAAAATCTTCTGAAGGGGGGGGGAGTACCACATTGCTTTTTGGTCTGTGGGGTCACATTGATCTGGAGGAGTTGGCAGGAGGACTTCTAAAGCTCTAGAGCATACTCAATATTTTCCTACACTTGAGTGACATCAATTGCACTGTTGTGTTTCATGTCCACTTGCAATTTTTCTTTGTTAAGTGCAGTGTTTACTTCATAATTGTTAGGGTCTCTTTACCCCACCTCATTTGCATTAAAGTGAGTAAAATTAGAATATTAGTCAAAATTGACACAGGCTTCCCCCCCCCCTTTAATTTTAATTAATTTCTCCCTGGTGTCTTTGCTGCAGATCTCCTGCAGTACTGTCAAAGAAGACTGCTTAATAAGGTAAAGCTTTTTCTTTCTTTGCTGCTGCTGCTGTTCTCAATAAAACTCACAGAGTGTTTTCTTTGTGATCCATTTGATCCCCATTCCAAAAAGTGCAGTAAAGTGCTTCCCTTCATGGGCAAGGATTTTAAGGACTACAGACCATGGTAACAAAGTCTGGGTTAATTGATATGACCTGTGGGTTTCCTTTTTTTTGCTCCTGAGGAACTGCAGGCATACACTTTCTCTCCCCTACAATGTTGGGAAGTTTCCAGAGGTATATCAAGCCAGTCCTGGGGCACAAATAAGACACAAATGAGTAACGTACTGAAAGCCAGTCCTGGGGCACAAATAAGACACAAATGAGTAACGCACTGAAAAAACCCAAACCAAACCAGGAACTCTGAATGTAACTTAAATCACATGAACCAGTCCTTTAGCAGGCATGCTGTAATATCAAGGTTTAGAGTAACCTATCTAATGTTCTGCTCCCATGAACCAAAAGTTCCTGTGCCAGTGCCTTTTCAGGGGGTGGCACAGGAGAACGTTCTGAAGATTTCACTCAGAAAATGTTCTGGAAGCCCAGACATGAACAAGACCCTCATAATAAAAGGGGTCTACTAGATTTTAAAGAATGTTGGTTGATATATAAACCACAGAGCTACAGCTCCTGTAGCCGGTGAGCAGGAGACTTCACTTTATATTGATTCTGACACTTGGTACTAAATTTCCCAATCTGTAATATGTCAGCAACAAGATGTCTGATAACCAATAAAAAGAACTGAGCACTTAAATGCTGACAATAAGATTCGCTTCTTCCTTTTTTCCTCTGGTTTGGAATGGTATTTGTTGTGGTGAAGTTCCATTTCTCAGCATTCAATACACACGGTTTTGTTACGAGGCAGATGCGATACTTGTGCTTTCTAAAATTTCTGGAACTGCCATGTTGAACACAGTTGCACAAATCCCACACAGCCTTTTGCCAAATACCTGTGACATGACATAACTTGTCAGAAGTGGCATAATCTCTCAGCCTTACCCATGCCATTTTTAATCTGCTAAAAGACAGATTACTTTCGTCCCATGAGAGAACTTCACATAGTTTAAAAAAAGGAAGTGGCAAACACCAAGCAAGCTTCCCCCCCACCCCCAGCCTTGCAACATTTCTCTGCCATTTCATACGTCCTTTGGAGAGTTATCTATAAGGGATGTACAGTCATCTTCTAAAGTGCACATCTTCCATGACCACTTTCCTGATCAGTTAGGTATGTATCCCATGTGTGGATCCACCAGGTGCCAAAATGGGAGCAAGGACAGGGCTGGAGGGATCCCTACAGACTGATGTGAATTCTAGGATGTGTCGGTTAAGTCCTGCTTTTTCAAATATGAAGATTTGTTTTCCCAAAGCTGGCTGAGACTAAGGTAAATAAACATATAAATAAAGCACAGCCCTTAGTCTAAACTGGATTTCAAAATGCTTTGAAAAAAACAGCAGCAATTAAAATGACAACCGTCTATAACCATCTTATTTATTTATTTATAATATTTCTTCTTCTTTTTTTGCCCCCCGAAGGGGATTTTTTTATTTGTATTTTCTATAAACTACAAAAAACTTCAACTAAAGATTGAAAGGGGAAGGGAAACTATGCCCTATCACTATAACTATGGGAAATGGGAAAAGGATAGACTAGTACATAGAAACTACTTGGTGGGGAAAGGAGACCACTATTCTAAACTATATCATCTATTGGTTTGGGGAAAGGAGAGCTAATACATATCATGATCTTATTAGCTAAAAATAAGGCTTATTTACCTAATAATTCAAGTTTGGTGTACAATTTAATTCATTGTAGTATTGCTTTAAGAGTATGCATTTAATAGCTTAGCACAAATTCTGCCTTTAAGAACTATTATTCTTGTTCTAGAGTCTTTTCTTCCTGCGTTTCTTCGTTTTCTTGGGTTTAGGGGCGGCTGCTCCTTTCTCCGATTCTGATGCTTCTGGTATTGTGTAAGTAGTGCTTTTTGAATCCTGTGAGTAGGATTTTTCTTCTTCATCTTCTTCCTCCTCCTGATCCGGTTTAGAGTTCTTTTCTTTCTTTTTATATTTCGGATTAAACACTTGATCCATAAATTTTTCAGCTTTTGGAACAGAGTCAGTTTTGTATTTTTTATCCAAGTAATTAAAACTCAGTCCTTCCAGGAATAACCATCTATATGGTACTCCCTTTTTTGTAGAGTGAGAGTAAGCATCCTGTATAGTTTCCTCCATTTTCTGACTTCAAAGGGAATGTCTTTTAGTATTTTTATCTCTTCATTCTTAATTTTTAAAGATTTTCCCATTGTAGATTTTAGCACCAGTTCTCTGGTAGATCGTTTCGTGAATTTTAGGTAGGTTTCCCCTGGGAGTTTATTCTTTTTTATAAAGTCCGGGTAGCTCCTGTAGGCTACATCCATCTCTTTCACAAGGTCTTCCTGTTTGTAATCCATTAACGGGGCCAAAGCCTCCACCAAAAGTTCTTTTAAGTCCTCGTTCTTCTCTTCAGGGATCCCATGGAAGCGTAGAACATATGTAGATCTTTCCAGCTGGAGCTGTATTAATTGCATTTTATCGGAGGATCTTTCCTTCTCTGCTTCATCTACTCTTATTCATACTCTCAGTCTGTTTTTCCATTTTTTTCAATTTTTTTTCAGTTACTGAGGTTCTTTTATCCATTTTATTCAGTTGTTTTTGAACACTGTCCAGTTTGGTGTTGAGGTTAGTCATCTGTTCCATTAGGGGGTGCAGTGCATTTGCTAACAGTGAAGAAAAGTCTGTAGTTACTTCCTGGTTCTGGGAAGGAGTCGTTGGTATGTTATTTCCGGTCACCAGTTTTTTCTCCGGCACCCTCCGTCCTCTCCCAGCCATAATATCAACAAGAAGTAAGTTTCCCAAAACAAGACAAAAGTTATGCAATTTAAATCCACTTTGTATATTTTGGCAGTTTTTGCCTTCGCTTAACTTCTTATGCGCTTATTTTAGCTTTAAGTCTTTTTATTTCCGATTTAAAACCGCTTTTAAATCTTTTTCAAAAAGGGGGGGAGTGCTTAGTCCCTCTCCCTCCACGCTTCAAACTTAGGCGCTTCCAATTACTACCAAGGTCAGTTTGCTTTTTCACCTAAGCTTTGCTTAACTCACAGTTTGGAGACCTGGAGATCTTTTGGAAGCATTTTAAAGTTTTGATCATGGTCGCTTGCTCCAGCAGTCATCTCTAAGTGTCATATAGGCTCCGTGGCGACGGTACCTTTTGGGGATAAGGTGAGCCTCAATTCCTTGGCTGTCATCTTGGAAGAGGCTCTCCTTAGCTCCCCAGGCTGAGGGTCTCCTACAGAGACCCTGCAGAGGCCTGGGACGAACTTGGACCCCTCCTGTTGGCTGGGTCTCGGCGCGTCCACATCAGAGCGAGATGAGACGCGTCCGAGAGGCGAAACACTTAAACCGGAAGTCCTATTTATAATATTTCTGTGCTGCCTTTCCACCCAGTACAGGATCCCCAAGGCAGCAAACATCGGGCCATTAAAAACATTTTTTACATTAAAACAGTGTTTAAAATACAAATATATATAAACCATTTAAAACAATTAAAGAAAACATATAAACACAAACAGGGAAGAGGGCTAATAAGTGTTAATGAGGGAATGCCAAACAAAACAAAAAGTCTTCACACGAACACACACCCGGTGGAAGACAATGATAGACAGACAGATGATTCTCCCTCAGGAGAGAGTTCCAAAGTTTTGGCACCATGACTGAGAAGACTGTTTTTCAGCTTTCTGCCCATCTAGCCTCAGATGGTGTAAGCACCGTCTCTGCAGGTAACCAAAGTGGCAAGGTAGTTTTATATGATACTGGGTGATCATTAAGGTATGCTGGCCTAAACCACATAGGGTTTGAAAAGACAATACAAGCACTTTGAGTTGGGCCTGGAAGCAAATTGGGAGCCAATGCAGGTGGAACAAAATTGGAGTGATATGACCCACTCCAATCAACATTCTGGCTACAGCATTCTGTACCCACTGTTGTTTCCAAACAGTCTTCAAGGGCAGTCCTATGTAGAGTGCATTGCACTAATCTGATTTAAATGTTACCAGGAATGTATTGCAGTGACAAGATCTTTCTTGCGTAGGAAGGGCAACAGCTGGGTCATTAGCCAAAGCTAATTAAAGGTGCTCCTGGTCACCACTGCCATGTGTTTATCCAACAGGATTCCTGGCCCCAGAAACACCTCTAGGCTACAAATCTGCTTCTATAAGAAGAGTGCAGGCACATCCAAAACAAGACACTTTCTAATTTCTGGGTCAAACCTCCCCCACCACCACCACCAGTAGCATCTTGTCACGGCAGGATCAGGGGGCGTGACACAAGCAAGCAAAAGTCCAGGAACAGTCCGAGGTCAAGCCGGGCAAATCAGGTAGCAAGGTTCAAGCAGGTTTAAATCACAGTCCAAAAGCAGGGTCAGACATACCAAAGTTTCAAGTCCATCAATCACAACAATACCAGAGGAGTCAGAGATGAACGCAGGGTCAACAAAGCCAAAGGTCAAAAGCCGAGGATCAAGCCGAGAAGAATTCCACAAGGTCTGGAGCAGAGATGCAAGGATTCAGGTCCTGAACAAACGACGTTGCCAGCACAAATGACTGCTGGCAACAGACTTGCATATATACAGTGCTAGCTAATCAACTCATTAGCTAGCCAGGAGTGAGGACAGGATCCTGTCAGTAATCAGGGCTAAGAGATCTTCTGGCACGCATGTGTGCATTCTGCCTTCGCTCTCTCAGCTGTTGTCTTCTTACATTCCTGAGCCTTGTTACAGGTGGAGGCGAGTCTGATGATGAATTACTGGGCTGCAGCAGAGACTGATCCCTTGCAGGTGTTCCCTGGGAGGCTCTATCCTCCTCACCACTTAGATAGCTTTCAGCTACAGGATCCAGTCTTTGCCTTTCTGCTGCAGTACTGTCCTCAGGAGCCTGTTCAGGGTCCTCAGGAGCCTGTTCAGGGGCATCAGCAAAGGCAGGCATGACATCAGCAGGGGCAGGCATGACACATCTCTATGTTGTCAGGGTTAAATTATAGCTTATTAGCCCTCATCCATTATAGCTTATTAGCCCTCATCCATTCTGTAGCTTCTCTTGGATTTCCTGGAAGTGCAAGATAGAGCTGAATGTCATGTACATATTGGTGGCCATTCTCCAGATGAACTCACCCAGAAGTTTCATGATGTTAAAAAGCATGGGGGACAAGATGGAATCTTGCTGGACTCCATAAGCCAGACCTAGAGGCTGATCAGCAGTCCCTTAGACCACACTCTGAAACCTATCTTCAAGTAGAACCAAAACCACTGCAAAACAATGCCTTCCAGTCCCAACCCTGAAAAGGTGGTCCAGAAGGATACCATAATCAATTATGATGATGATGATGATGATGATGATGATGATGATGATGATGATGATGATGATGATAATAATAATAAACCACTGAGAGGTCCACGAGAATTGACAGGGTTTCATTCCTCCATCCATCACAAGGTGCAAGTTATCTACCAGGGTGACTAAGGCCAATTCAGTCCCATAACCAGGCCAGAAACCAGATTGGAATGGATCCAAATAATCCACTTCATTACAGAATCCCTGAAGCTGACCAGCCACCACTCATTCAATCATCTTGATAAAGAATGGTACATTTGAGACTGGAAGGTAGTTATTCATCTCTCCTGGGTCCAGAGTAGGTTTCTTTGTGTGCAGACTGTCTGCTTCAAGGCAGGAGTGACCACCCTCTCTCTCAAGGAGGCATTTACTATCTCCTGGACCCAGTCTGCCAGCCCCCTGGCAGATTTAAGTAGTCAGGACAGGCAAGTGTTGTACAAGCAGGTGATAGTTCTTAAACATCCAAGAATCCTGTCCACATCTTCAAACTGAACAGCTGAAAGGTATCCCACACAACTGGACAAGTCAGCATCGTCTCCTGATGTGGAGTGCAAGTTAGAAGGAGTGTGAGAGATTTTATTTGCAAAGTGTTCAGAAGAATGATCGCAGTGGGCTGCAAAGCAGTAAATTCCCTCCCGTAAGCCAGAACCCAATAGCCCCCCTGGCTGCCTGGGACAGTTCTGCAGGTCTGTACTGTGCAGATGTGATGGTGGCCAAGACATGTTCTTTCCTTACAGCCATCACTGCCATGGAGTAGGGAGAGCTCAGTTATTAAGACCTTTTGTACTTCTGGTTAGCAGTCACATGAGTCTGCTTTGATGGCTGAGGATGAGTTGCTGCGAGAGTATTCAACCTTATCTTTCCATCTCTCTTCCATGATTGAAATAGCCCTTCTGAAGCCAACATCACCTCTGTGGAAAGAAAAGTACGAGTATGATATTTGTGTCTTTCTCTCCCCACCCCCCTACTGGGCTAATATTATGACCTGAGGGGGCTATTTAAACTCCTGAGGCATGGTAGGAAATTCCCCTTTCCCACAATGATTCACTAAAGATCAGGGATGAGTTGTTGGGGGGGAGATACTACTTAATCTTTTCATTATATGCATCTTTCTATGAGAGTGCTAACTGGGTCCTTAAAAACCTGTTAGAAATTCTAATATTGGAACTCTCATGCAGTGCACGGTTTGGCCTTGAGTCTTCAGAAATTTCTCCTTAACCCACACCTTATTAAGGTTAGCTTTTGGTGCTGTTGTGGCTCTCATCTAAGAGAAACAGTTTCTTTGTAACTGGTGTCAAAAAAATAAGGGAGACAGGAGAATCTCACAATCCTTTTTTCTTCTCTCCCTTTTCTCTCTCAACCTGTTCCCAGTGAGATGCTCACGCTGCCCTTTCTTGTATCAGAGATGCCATTTCCTAGCACCCTTAAAGGGTTCTCTGAACTTCTGGTTACTGAACCACAAACTTTGGACAACAAATCAGCATTTTTTCCCAAGGATTCACTTTTAAATTGGGTTCCAGGCAAGATTTTAGCTCCAGGTTCAGTTCTAGTTTGCTGAAAAAAATAAAACTCTTTTCTGGACCACTTTTTGATTTTGGATTCAAATGCAGTTCAGCTATCTGTCACAACCTGGTGGAGCATAGCTTTGAACAATGCCAGGATGGTTTTTGCACAGCTTAAGTGGAAGCTGGTGGATCATAGTAGATGCCTTAATTTAAGAATTTAGTTTTCCAGAACAGCAATACTCACCAGGTTAACAGATTAATTGTCCAAAAGGAGAAATGTTTCCAAGTAAAATAATAGAAGAATGCATGTATAGGGAAGGGCACAAACTTGGCAGTTCTTATTCTGGTAGTTGTGGAGTAGAGCATGCTCTCCTAACCTCTCCTCAATCTACTTCATCAGGAAAGCCAAAAACTGTAGCCATTTGTGGGGAAAACTTGGCAGAACTAAGATGCAGAAGCCAAGCTATGGAATGTGTTTTTCCAGCAGCAGCATCTGGGCCCCTGGTTAACTTCCTGATTGATCTCCTGCCTGAGAGCAGAAGCCAGCCACAATAAGTGCAGAAAGCAGTGGGAAACAGGGAGGCTTGGACATCTATCTCTTTATAAAAAGCAATGCAAATACAGAGCACACTGCCAAATTGCCTGCAACTTCAAAATTCAGCTGGGAAGTACATCTTTCTGTAGATTGCCATGTGGAACAGCCCTTGGTTTGTTTTTGTATCTGCACCAGCAATAAAACCAAAGATGGTAGCTTCATTCAAAGAAACAGTCTGGCAACTTGTAAGCTCGGAGCCAAATTCTAGGATTCTATCTCATTTGGGTTTTCTTTTCTCATAGGTTGCATGTGGCTTTCAGCTAATTTTCTGAAGCAGCCTTATCATAACCACCAAGGAATTACACAGCCCATTTTAAGACACACACCCCCAGCCACCATATTGTATTATTTCTTTGGGAGCCTTCTTGTACAGTATATATACAGAAACTTTTGTCACATACATACTATGACTGTTGATATTAATGTTATATATTGTGCTCATAGCGGCAATACAATACCCATGTATTGCAAAGAAAAACTACTTTGTTACAGCCATTTGTAGCTTGTTAAACCCAAATATATTTGATATCTCTTCGTTCAAAAGGCATCTCACTGTGCAGTACTTGCTTTTGTTCCGCATTGTGATCTACATGGAAAGAACTGAGCTGTGTAATTACACATGTAGATGGTCCTCCTTTGAAGCATGGGCTGGACAGCCTCTTGGCCCTTTCCAGCTCCGGGACTGGATAAAATAAATTCATAATGGTAAAATTTCCCCTGTGTCTTTCTGCACCAGGTTTGGGTGGTCATGAGAAGACTCCCTTTTGTAGAGCCTCAGTTCATGGCTGCTGGACAGATGTCATCCTTCACACAGACTAAGACATCCAATAAAGGCCATACTGGATTATAAGACAAAATGGAGGAGGAGGAGGATTGGATTTATACCCTGCTCTTCAGTACCAGAAGGAGTCTCAGAGTGGCTTACAACCCCTTTCCCTTCCCCTCCCCACAACAGACAACTGGTGAGATAGGTGGGGCTGAGAGAGCTCACTCGAGAACTGAGAGAACAGCTCTGAAAGAACATATGACTGACCCAAGGTCACACCAGCAGCTGCATTTGAGGAGTGAGGAATCAAACCCAATTCTCCCACATTAGAGTCCACGCTCCTAACCACTGCACCAAACTGGCTCATTTAACCTTTTCCCTTCCTGCCTCTGTCTAATCAAAATCCTCCCTCTCAAAACTTGTTTTGTCTTTGGCTACTTCTGCACTGTCATGTTTGTCACTCATTTGTCCCTATTGCTTTGGGTCCCCCCCCTTTTCCACATTGGGGGGGGGACATTCTGAAGCAAAAGGGACACACAGTGACAAAAATAACAGTGCAGAAGTGGTTACTGACAAGGCAAATGAAATGGACACATATGATTTGTGGGGAGAGAAGCAGCATTCCTCAGATTAAACAAGCCTAAGTATTGAGCTGTAACCAAGTCTGCCTGCCTATCTTCCCTGATGCATGCACTCTTTCTAGCAAAAACTTGCCATCATAAGAACAATAGATTTCCTAACAAGTGCAAATAATGCAGTAGTTTGCTGATCATTTCCTTCATGTCAAACCAATGTATTACTTTAAGGTCTTGTCTTTCAGATGTACCCCTGATGCAAGTGCACCATGAACTTCAAAGTGCTACAACATCTTTTAGAATCTGTCTGCACTTGAGGCCGCACAATTTGTCAACACCATAAGATGAAGCCAGGCACAGCATCAAGAATCTTCCCCACATCCAGTTATCTGATTTGCTCCACTATCATTCCCCCCGCACACACACACTTCAGCAGAAATCAATGTATGACCATTTCATGGTACAAATGATCATGTCTCATGTGAAATCCAGGGGTCGTTTCGTAGAAAAAGAGCTAGGGAAACTCATTAGCATAACTCATTAGCATATGCCACACCCCCTGACATCACCGGAAGTGTGTCATAAGGCCACAC